TTGCACAACATCTGAAGTAAAGGATTATAATCCCTAACAGAAGGGAGATAAACATGAGCCCCATAATGGTGAGCTTCTGTCTCAAGGAACATTGCAGACTATGGTCCAGGAAGGTGGGACCCAAAGAGTACACAGAAGAGTACACAGAATTGCTGTGCTGAGCTGAGAAGACAGAAAGAAGAATTTTAACACTGCTGTGGCAACTGCATTTTGCAAGGCAGAATACTAGAGAGGAGAGAATTTCCAGAAAGCAGGTCCAGAAATCCAAGTGTCTTCTTGAATGTTTGGGTAAATGGTAAGCTGTACTGTGCACAGCAAGACTCCACAAAGTGTGGCAGTAAACAACTATCCAGGAGCTGTAAACTAAATACAGATTTTGGGGATCATAACAAACTAAGGGATACGGGAGTTCAAACCAACCAGGAGATAAAACTCAATTGAACATGAACGTTCAGTTGAATTCTTAGAAAGGCCATGCTTTAGGAGTCAGGCTATTCTACTCTAGAGCACAGATTACTTTATTCTAAGAGGTACCCTGATACAGCAAAACAAACAATCTTCAAAGAATACAATTGATTTACATTAACTATAAATGCACTAAACACTCCAGTTAAATGGCAGAGATTTCCAGACTGGATAAAAAAGGAAGAACCAACCATGTGCTATTTAAGAGAGACATACTTGTAAATTTAAAGATACAGATAAGTTCACAAAAGGATGCAAAAAAGACATCCTATAGAAACATTAATCATAAGGAAGTTGGAGTGGTCATATTAATTTCAGACAAAGTAGGCTTAAGAACAATATTATTATTACTAGAGATAAAGAGAGAGATTTTATAATGATGAAAGTCAGTTTACCATGAAAACATAACAATACTAAATATGTATGTGCCTAATAAAAGAACTTCAGAGAGATATATATTGTAACTATGTGATACCAATATGACATTTATTATATCTAATAAAGAAAGAATTCTTCTTTAGGGTAGATGGCAGCTTAAAAATAAAGGCAATTCTGATTCCATGTACTTCTCATAAAAATCTGAAGTAAGGCCCACGGTACCGTTTTTCAAGCCAAAACTTCACTGTAGTATTCAGTAATCCCCTTACAAAGAAAATATTTATTTAAATATCAATTTAGAAAAATCTGTAATTATTTCAGATGGTTTAAAAAGGATAGCCACTGAATAGAAAGGATATCCACAGGCCACTAAGTAGTCTTTCTAGATTAAGTTTCAACTAATATCATCAAGGAAAAAAAATTCCTTAAACATTTATTGGTAATGTTAGATGTTGCACAAAACAAACAACAGAAGTAATGAACATTATTTAAGTTTATACTTAAAGTGGGAAGAAAATTACATGAAATAATTACTGAATAAATAAGTATGAAATCATATGATACTGGTTACATGCTGAGGATATATCTGACAGAACCATTGCGTTGAAATGCAATACTCCAGTGAAGTTTCATGAAGGTCAGCTTAGGCCCTACACGATGTCTTGAAAAATAAGAAAGAGTTATTTGTGTAAGAGCGAATACAAGGCACTTCCAAATAGAAGGCAAAGCACAGAGCAAAAGTAGGAGAGAGCAAGAAAATGGAATGGAGGTACTATACAAGAAGTAGGAAACAGGATTCAGTACATAAGGGCGCATACATTTTTTCAATCATTTTATTTTTCTGGGTCTTCTCCATTTGGATTTAGTTTTGCTTTGGCTTTCCTTTTTAACAGTAAACACCATACTTTCCACTCACCATTATTCCCATGAATCACTGATAACTAATATTAACAGTTTATTGGACATGATTCCAGAAATGTTATATATATCAAGACATGTAAACAAATGCATACTGTATCCATATATACATATATATATATCCATCTTTTTATTCCATGAAATATGTACTATGCTGTATCTTGCACTTTGTCCATCTAACAGTATATTCCTTCATTCATTCAACAAACACTTGAGTGCCTGTTACTTGATATCAAAAGGATATGGATATACCATAATTTACTTAGTCCATTATTAATCAGTCAATGCAGTTGTTTCTAAATTTTTATATTATAAGCAGCATTGCAATGAACACCCTTGTGAATAATTTTTAGCACGCCTGAGTGAGACTACCTTTAACATATTGCCTGAAGCAAAACTGCTGAGTAAGACTAACTGAACATAATACTGAACTGCATTAGAAGGTCCATATTTTCAAGCATGCAAATTATTTTACAGGATATGCAAAATAAAGGTAAAAAAATTGGGACTGTGTATAAGACATGTTCACAGGGAAATGCATACAGAAGGAAATCAATAATATGCTTCTAACTGGTTGCAGTATATTTTCTGGAATAAATGGAATTTCAAAAGTTTTTTGAGACTAAAAGAAATTTGGGTAGTCAATTCTTGCACAAGGTATGGCAAGACTCAAAAACGTAAACTGGCCACCAAAGAAAGAAAGGAAAGCAATAAATATGCCTGAAAGAAGTGATCTTCTTGGTGGTAGGAAGAAGAAATGGTACAAGTGAAGCACAGCAGCAAACTTTGCAGAGTTGAAGAAAAAATAAGAACTTGAGAGGTACTTCATGAGTTCAGCAGACCTGGGATGTTCATTCTCACATTCCGTGTGTGTGTGTGTGTGTGTGTGTGTGTGTGTGTGTGAGTGTGCGCGCGCGCGCGCGCATGTCCCCTATTAGTACACCATCAGAGAATAATAAAGGTGATCTATAGTAACTTTCATCATCAATTTAAGAAAATTATTAAACAGTCCTAGGGACCAGAGTAAAAAACACTTAAAACTGTTTCCTTTGGGGAAGAAAGGCTAGTTTGTTTATTTATTTTAAAAGAGAATATGAACACTCTTGTTTTGCTTGCTAGTAGGACACCAAACAAGGAAGTGAGCTTCAATTCAAACATGAGATCTTTTGGTTGAGCATAATGGAAAATTTCACTATTAAGGACATAAAATGTTGAAATGGTACACCCGAAGAAGCTGTGCATACTGCTTCCAGCTATCTCAAAGAAAGTTTGTATAAGAACAGATCATTTGAGGTCACATTCAGCTCTCCATCAAAGAGAAACAGAACTCACACTTACTTTGTTACTATCATACAATTTAACAGGCATTTTACTAAAATCTTATAGCAAGTGCTTTCAAAGTTTTATTTAAACATTCTAATTTTGGATTTTATTTAGCATTTTTAAGGCAAAATGTATATAAGACACGAGTTGCAAACTGCCGAGTGAAAATAGTGACTTTTGCTTAAAGCTTTGCAAAGTGCTTACCCCCTAGCTTAATGCTAATTAGAGTAAGTAATAAAGACATATGATGTTTATATGTAAATGGATACATTTAATTTCATTTTATTATTTTTTTTTGAGACAGAATCTCACTCTGTCGCCCAGGCTGGAGTGCAGTGGCGCAGTCTCAGCTCACTGCCACCTCGACCTCCCAGGTTCAAGCGATTCTCCTGTCTCAGCTTCCCAAGTAGCTGGAACTAAAGGCGCATGCCACCACATCTGGCTAATTTTTTATTTTTAGTAGAGACAGGGTTTCACCATGTTGGCTAGGCTGGTCTCAAACTCCTGACCTCAGGTGATCTGCCTGCCTCAGCCTCCCAAAGTGCTGTGATTACAGGCATGAGTCACCATGCCCAGATGATAAACTTGATTTTAAAAATGTCTTAAAAATAAAAATGTTCAAGTCTGCTTAATATTCACTTAGTTGGGGTCTTTTTGGTAGAATACTTTTTAAAAATTTGAACAAGACTAGTTTTTATTTTTTTTTATAAGAATGTTCATTACAAATTAAAAAAATGAAAACAGCCAAAACACTAATCAAGAGGATGAGTAAATAAACTGTGTG